CCTTTATATTCCTTTCACTCGTACCTCTTATTCAATGCACACACTTCGCTTTTATGGAGCCCGACTTTGGAACACCATCGACAATCAAATCAAAGGTCAATCTTCTGTGGGTTGTTTCAAAACTTCGTATAAAAGAGCCCTCCTGTCCCATTACACGGCACAGCTTGCTCTTTAATTGTCTGATTTGTATTTATTTTATTATGTTACTTCGTGGATTATCATTGCCTTCTTTGGATTTCAAATTAGCTAATCAGATTTTCGTCCATTAATTATTGTTTTGTCTTGTCTTTTGTCTTGTCTGTTCGTCATCTGTCTTGTTTCTGTCCTGTCTGCCATGCCTCTCTTGTTTTGTCTTGTCTGCCATGTCTGTCTTTTTTTTGTTCAGTCTGTCATGTCTGTCCAAAGGCTGTTCCCCATAAGCCCTGGCTTCCCTGAACAGCCTCCATACTCATTAATTCCGTGATGCTTCTGCTATTGTTTTCTCTTTTGTAAGTTGATTTTTTTTTCATTACTCTGATTTCTGTGACTAATGTTTTTATTAATCAATCATGTACAGTGTTATACAATGATATTACGGATTCATGACTTTCCTGTGTTTTATCTTGCTCGCGTAAGAGTATGGAAATAAATGTGAATTGAATTGAATTGACAATGTCATCATACAGAGAAACTCCATCTCTCGATTCTATCATCTTCAAGATAGAAATTATGTCGCCTTTCGGGAAGGCCATTCCAAGCAGCCACGTTTTCATTTGTTTCCCCTTTCTGCAGGCTACAGTCAAAGCCATACGTAGTAAAAAAATTCTTTCTCACCAAAATTAATGTCGCGTGCAATGCCCATGACACTCTCCCTCTGCTGCCGTAATCTTTTGGCAATTTCTCTGGATCGGCAGTCACAGTTTCGGGGATCTGGGTTGTTACATCTTTTTTTCAATACCGGTAACTGTCTTATGCAATAACTTGTTACTTTTCCTCTCTGCGCCTCGCTTTCTGATGTGATGTGGAAGTGCACCATTTCCAACTTGGAACTCTGTAGCTGTCAAGAATTGCTGGATTATGTTCTATTTCTGCAAGCAGGGATTGTTGTCAGGGAATTCTCTTGCGGCCTGCTCACCATCACGTGCTTCTCCTGTTTGGAGGTGACCAGCTGATCAGTCTCATTTCTACCTTGTTGTTCTTGCTCGTTTTGTATGTTAGGCGTAGTGTAATTTTCGGCTGGTTTATCATTCATAGGCCTGTCTCGTGGTCGCTATTGAAGTCTCTACCTTCTGGCTCATTTGAAAATGAAAGAAAACGTATACATCTTTATTTTACAGCATAGTTTAACGTCTTCTGACCCTTCAACGCTGCTATCGTTCCGGAGGGAATTACCTCCAAACAATAAACTTAGCAAGGCTGTCAGCGATATTGCTCGTCTTTGGCGTTCTCCTTGCCTAAATAAAAAATTTTCCCTTGCAACAAAGTCCTTGATTCTCAAAGTGTCAAATTGTTCCAACCTTTTTTTGCGTTGTCTTCGATCTTGATCAGGGAATGTGAGTGTTGATCCATTTATAGGCTCCGCATCGAAATTATTACACCAGTAATTCCAGTCGTCCATGGAAAAGGAATGACATTTTCAAACAATTATTATGCCCATTGATCCGCTATAGGTCTTTCCCAGCTGAACTCAAAAACACGAAAGACAGTCGTGAAGCTTAGATCATTGTCGCAAACTGTAACCCTTTCTAAAGTGAGCGAATTCCACAAAGGAAACAGCTTTTGTTGAAGCATAAAGTATACAACATAATAAGATAAGGAACTAATAAAGTTGGCATTATAATGTT